AAATTGAGTTCAGAAGAACAGATGCGCTTTTTTGGCATCCCTGTAAACCTCGTTTTACAAGGAAGAAGGGATGTTCTGAAAAAGGTTTTTTTTTCGGACATTTGGCCCAGTGTAGACGGGCCAAATGTTGGAAAAGCCTCTTCTGAAAAAAGAAGCAGAAAAAGCAACGCAAATTGCAGTTCGCAATTGCTCCACGTGACTGCAAGATACTGGCTTATCCTCAGCCTATGAAGGACCCACTGCCCACAACCAGGCACTGTTTATTTTCTAAACACAGTCAAAACATAAAAACAGCCTTTCAGCCCACTGGGGACAGCAGCTGCCAGCAGATTTTCCCCTTTGCCTGTCTCAGTGCCTTCTGCAAGCTTCTTCCTGGCCCTTTCCCCAGAGCACCGTCTCTCAGGGCTTTCTCCCACGAGACCCTTTTCCCCCAGCAAGTTCCCAGTGCATCTCCTCACTCTGACAGGCACAGCCACTTCCCATTCCTTATTGACAGCCTGGGTCTATATACTTCCAGGTGCTGCCTCATCCTCTTACATAGCTAAACTGGGAGCATCTGTTCTGGGGAGTCAAACTTGCTTCAATTAAAGGGGCCAGACATCCAATGTCAGTCACAAATCCATGGCCACTCAGGATTTCGGTTGTCCCTGTGTTGCTCACCAAGGCCACTGAGACCTTCATGTCAATAGCAGGCGATAGAAAACAAGCTCCTGCTGGTTCAAAATCAGAATTCTTCTTTGAGCCCAAGGAGAATATCTCCTTAGCTGATAGTGGTATGCAGCATTTTTCAAAGCTCCAAACAGTTCTGATTCTGTCCTGCAGAAGGCAGTGCGATACACAAACACGTCCGCTCATTGCAATGCACCCACTTACTGCACTTGGCCGGTTGTTGTACTGTTTAAACATGAAAATGACAGGCAGATTAGTTAAAAGGAAATCAGTTCCCTCAGGCCTATTCCTGTCTTTCATTATCACTTGCTTTGGCCAACAAAAAGGAACCTGGTCCTGCACACACAATGTACAGAAAGATTCTTGCAAACAAGCAGACCTGGCCTGGCTGAGTGTGAGGGCTGGAGTCTTGTGTTCCTGTCTTTCAAATGTCTCCCAGGCCCCCCAGGAGGAATGCACTACACATGCTTGGGGCTGGTTTGTGCAAACTGAAGGCTCAGCAGATCTGGGGAAAGAATGGCTGGGAATGCAGACTAAAGTCATGGAAAACAAATGGGAAGGCCAGGCCTGTGCTGGCTTTGCTTGTCTTTTGTCCCCATGGGAAAGTCTGTGCATTTATCTCTGCCTCACTCCATAACTAAATCATCCATCTCTCTATTGACCTGCCATGTGCATCCCCTTTGCCTTTTGTTCTTTAAGGCAGACATGCTGAAGATATATTTGGGGAACTGTTCAACGAAGCCAATAGTTTCTATATGCGGATGAACTCCCTGCAGGAGAGGGTGGATCTTTTGGTGATCAAGGTCACTCAGTTGGACTCGACTGTGGAGGAAGGTAAGATGGGACTGACCAACAGGAGTTGTCATTGTTCATCTCTTTTGTGTACAGTGTGGAAGTTGTAATCAGAAGGAATTTGAATTGCAACTCTGCTCGACTAAGATCATACTCAAATTTGGCCAACTCCTTCCTCGCTGTCACTTTCTCTCATGGAGAGTCATTCCAAAGGTTCAGAGGGCAGTCACAGATTGCTAGTGTGCAAGCCATTGAAAACCCTCTCATTCTTATTTCTGCTGAGGCTGGGAATGCCACAGGCAAATTCACGGGTGTTTTGAGTGAGATAGTTCCCATACAACCCAGGGAGGTTTCGAGCCAAGGAAATGGCTCTGTGCCACCCCAGGTTGGGTGGAGGAATACAGCAATTGCCATACCATGCTAGTGCACCATCTAGGCCAGGGGTTTTCAAACTTGGGTCGCAGACTCCCCACCACCACAGAGCTGGGGAAGACTCTGGTGGGCCCATGACACTTTGTTTTCTCTAAAGCACCGCAGCCACAGAGCCCTGCAGCTCCGATTGGCTGTAATTTGCCATTTCCAGCCAAGGGCAGCTGTAGGAAGCAGTGTCCTGGCTTGCGTTGCTTCCTGCAGCTCCCATTGGCTGGCAAACCGCAGCCAATGGAAGCTGCGAGGCTCTGTGGCGGTGGAGCTTTAGATTAAACTAACTGTTGTGGACCTGCCAGAGGCTTTCCCTGATGGGTCCACAACCCAAGTTTAAGGCCCCATGATCTAGGCCAATATCCTGTGTCCAACCTGTGCCAGATTCTTCAGAGGAACACAGTGCAAGGAATCCTGCAGAAGTCAGTTTTGTCCTAAAGTTCTGCTAGGGAAAGGATCTTCCCTCCCCACCTCTCGCCTTAGCAGGGGGCCAGCTAATGCCATAAAGCGGGAGGATTTGTATCCTTTCCAAAATACCTTTGTTTAAAACCCTTGCTCTTCTAACCTTGGTGAGCATAAACCATGGTGCTTTAGCTATGCTGCACTGTCAGAGCAGCCATTTGGACCTATGGCAGCTGAGTATAAATTAGAGCAGCCCGGAGGGTTAAAGCAAGTTTATCAATACGATTAGGACTAGGGATGTTAGTGTATACTATAGTCGTGTAAATAATTAACCAATAAGCCTGAGCTTATTGGTTATTCATAATGACTACATACACTCCACCCTTGCTGCCTCTGTATCAGAGGCAGCAAGGGTAGGGGAGGCTGGAGCTGGTGCTTGTGGATCCTGCGGAGCCACCTGCCCCCACCCCTTGTTGCCTCCCACAGAGGTAGTGAGGGGAGGCCTCAGGATGGAGCCGGTGCTCTGGGAAAGCTGGCTTAAAAGCCAGTTCCCCATGTGTGCCAGCTTCACGGAGCCACCTCTTCCCCAGCACAGCTGCTGTGGTACAGTAGAGCAGCCTCTGTCCACGGAGAGCTCGGGTTCCCCACAGATAGAGGCTGTTGCCCCCCCCCGCTGCTATCTCTGATACAGAAGCAGCAGCGTGGGGTGGCAGGAGGCTCCTTGGGAGTGGAGCTGGGAATACCTGTCCTGCCCCCGGGGACCATGAAATAACTGTAACTGCTAAGATTTGGGGCAGTTACATGATTATCGCATTAAATGATATGTAACATCCCTAATCAGGACCATGATGTGTTCTCTGGCCCATTCAAGTTGCCAGAGTATAAGTGGTAACAGGATTTGGCATCTAGTGCTGAATACTGAATCCAAGTGGCTGGAACTCATTGCAGTACATGTCCTTCCCTTACAAATGTGGCTGTATATTTCTTTAAGATCTTCTCTTTACTATCTCTGAGTAATGCCACAGTTGCTATGGTTATTTGTTCACTGAATCCCTGAAATGCAGCTTGTCAGTCATGTCTAAGTGCTCTTCATGGGCAGCCTTAGGTATCTGCTGATGTGGCTGTGAACCACCCATCACTCGATATCACAGCAGCTACCCATCTGTACAAGGAGAATTGGAGAGTCTGTCACTGTCTCTCCTTCCCCCCTGCAGACAGAAGGCAGCAATCCCTCCCTTCCAAATCACACCTCCTGCTTTTGTGGCATAGTTGCTGCCTTGGTAGCTCTCCATGCACAATGGCTACGTCTACACTGGCATGATTTTCCGGAAATGCTTTTAACGGAAAAGTTTTCCGTTAAAAGCATTTTCGGAAAAGCACATCTAGATTGGCAGGACGCTTTTCCGGAAAAGCACTTTTTCTGGAAAAGCTTCCGTGGCCAATCTAGACGCGCTTTTCCGCAAAAAAGCCCCGATTGTCATTTTCGCAATCGAGGCTTTTTTGCGGAAAACACTACTGTGCTGTCTACACTGGCCCTTTTCCAGAACTGTTTTCTGGAAGAAGACTTTTGCCCGAACGGGAGCAGCATAGTTTTTCTGGAAAAGCACTGATGATTTTACATTAGATTGTCAGTGCTTTTCCGGAAATTCAAGCGGCCAGTGTAGACAGCTGGCAAGTTTTTCCGGAAAAGCGGCTGATTTTCTGGAATAACTTGCCAGTGTAGACACAGACAATATGTTAAGAGTAAATACTCCAGGCAAACACATGAACAGTTACCTTTTTTAGGGAACAGAGAGAACACCAGCAATTATTTAATCAGCTCAACTGGATGAGCTTAGCCAGAGAGAGGAGAAGAGGACAATGGGGAACAGAAAACCTGCCTAATTAATAAATATGACTGGTGATTGTCAGACATATGAAGAAGCACTACAAACATCCAGTGGAGGCTAGAGACATGGGGATCTATGCCCTGAAGCACAGGCAACAGACACTGACATATAGGTACACACAAAGAGGACATAACATATATGGAACCTTTCTCCTGCTAACAAATGCTTAACATGTCTGCAGATGAGAGCTGGGAGGGAAATGGCTTTCTCATCCTAGGAAAATGTATGAGTTACTGAAAAAATGTCCCACCCTGACTCGAAGTGAGAAATCATCCTCAAATCTTTTTACAGACTGAAAAGCCAAAGAAAACTTTTGGCTCCAGTTAATATAACGTTTCATTTTAACACTTTTAAAACTTTTTTCCAAACACTTTTAATTCAAAAAACGTGTTGAAACTTTTCATGTGAAAAGTTTGCGTTAGATGAATCAGCATTTTCTGATGTTAAAACGTTTTACTGCAAAATTCCTGACCAGCTCAGAGACATGCAGTCTGGCTAGAGAGTGGATTCAGTGGATATAGGTTGCTTCCCACTTAGCAGTCTGGAAGACAGCCATGACTATGCTTGGCTATTTGATCTGACAACTTGGTTTCTTTGTGAATTGCTGGGGAGAAGAAGGCAAGAAGCAAATGCTAACAGGTCCACAAAGCTAGAGTCCTTGCAAATAGCAGAGGGGGACCAGTGCCATCTTTTTTATGAGGCTTTAGGAGTTAGAGATTAATATAAGCCATCAAGGTTAGCCTGGTTCAGAACTGCCACAAAGTTTCAGGGTAATCAGATTTGGGGAGTTGATTCAGGCCCATCACTAATAAGACTTGACCAAGAATTCAAGATAATGTGGTTACATGTAGTGCAGAATGGGCAGTACCAGTGTTTGGTAAAGTGTTACGCTGCATATGCTGCAAAGGATGTTAGAAAATTAAAATAGGACTTAGCATTGTACTAAGTTTGGAAAAATTCCTCTGCACAAAGTCCCATGTTTCTTCGCTTTGTGACTTTCAGAGCAAAATTGCTGTTTTACACCAATCAAAAGGTGGATTTTCCAAATACCACTGTTCCGTGCAAAGGAGACCTAACAAGAGCCAAGAATCTGCCCCAGTGTGCATGTGTATCTGACAGAATTTGTCACACTCCCTCTGTTACCTTTCCGTGGTCATTTAGAGCAACAAGAATGATTAAAGGTCTAGAGAACATGACCTATGAGGGAAGGCTGAAGGAATTGGGTTTGTTTAGTTTAGAAAAGAGAAGATTGAGGGGGGACATGATAGCCATTTTCAGGTATGTAAAAGGGTGTCATAAGGAGGAGGAAGAAATCTTGTTCATCTTGGCCTCTGGGAATAGAACAAGAAGCAATGGGCTTAAACTGCAGCAAGGGAGGTTTAGGTTGGACATTAGGAAAAAGTTTCTAACTGTCAGGGTAGTCAGACACTGGAATAAATTGCCCAGGGAGGTTGTGGAATCTCCATCTCTGGAGATATTTAAGAGTAGGTTAGATAAATGTCTATCAGGGATGGTCTAGACAGTATTTGGTCCTGCCATGAGGGCAGGGGACTGGGCTCGATGACCCCTCGAGGTCCCTTCGAGTCCTAGTATTCTATGATTCTATGATTTAGCCTCTGTAATATCTAGTGCATTCATACAGCTTATACTGATGTGGGGAACTTCTGCTCGCTCTTGCCTAACACAGATCCTGCCATGAGTAAAACTTCACTGAATGTAGGTCTCTTTCAATTCAGTGATAAAAACTTGCCCACTTCCCATCCAACGAGGAAAGCTCAGAGTGGTTCCTTTTTTGGCAAATTGCTGTTTTCCATCTGGTGGGAGCTCCTGCAGCACGACTCTCTGTGGAGTTGGCGTCTCAGGCAGTCAGCAGGAGAGCTGGGGATGGCTCAAATAGCTGTGCTGCAGGCTGGATTTCTGCCTCCCACTCTCCCCACATACAGCTCATCTCCTTGTGCCCACATGCAGGAGCTGCCTTGGCAAATGCTCGCTGATCGAAAGGGCTAGAGGGATTGTAAACTGCAGGGGTGGGGAGGAAATGTGAGAAATTCTGCCTGATGCCTTCCGCGAGGCCTTGATTTTAATAACAGAGATGTGGCTATATTAATCCTTAAGCACCACGGGCTGCCAAAGTGACCTGGGATGAGTCTCTGGCATGCACAAATTGAACATGAGCCAATCTTTTCGTCTAGAGCATCAACGACCTGTTATGCTTTGAATAGCTGTGAATTTACATGCTGGGTATCAGGTGAGGCTGGCAGGCGTGCAGCATGAGTGTTGAGCACAGGGGAAAACTGCAGGCATTCAGTGTGAGTTTTTGATGCTGAGCCCAGATGGGAATGACAAATACACAATGTAAGTGTCAGGGTTGGAGCACTCAAATATGAGGATACAGTGCAAATGTCAAGTGTGTGTTGTTAGTGAAGGGCGCAGACAGCAAAGATCAGGCACTTGGCTTAGTGTCGGGTGAAAGGTACAGAAATTACGTTGAGAATCCAAATAGCAGGCCCTCAGCCTTTCCCCCAGCACAGTAACGTTTCTTTTTTGTGTGGTCACAGTTTCACTGCAGGACATCAACATGCGGAAAGCGTTCAAGAGCTCAACAGTGCAGAACCAGCAGGTGGTCTCTCGGAACTCCATCCCTAACCCCGTGATGGAGATGTACCAACGCTGTGACAAGCCGCCTCCCCTCAACATCCTGACGGCATACAGGTAGGGTGGGTGGGGGCTGGAACTAACCAACGTGCCTTACGCCCACTGTTTTATTGCCGTGTACTGTTCATTAGAGTCTAAACTAGGGATGTTAAATAGCACTTAGGAAGCTAATAGAGTAGTCAATGGAATTTCCATCGACTAGTTGATAAAGGGGGTCACTGTGACTCTGCTTTTTAAATGTAGTAAGAGCAGCCAGGCTGCAGAGGTGCAGCATCCCCGCAGATATGGTGCTTGGCAGAACCAGCTTTTAAGCCAGCTCCCCACAGCACTGGCTCCTGCTCCCACCCCCCTTGTTGCCTCTGATACAGAGGCAGCAAGGGACTGGAAAAGATTAGTTGAGTAGTGACTTGACTACCCGATAAGCCTAGGCTTATTGGGTAGTCGACTAGTTGTTTACATCCCCAGCCCAAACAATTCTGAACTGAGCCAAACCTGCTTTGGAAGAGATTGTTTCCTATGAAATTGGAAGGCTGCACTTCTGATCAGCCTTACACAAGTATTACTCAAATGTCACTCCATTGCCTTCAGCAGCATTACTTCAAATTTACACCAGCATTCGCTAGGTCAGAATCTGCACACTCAGTTCATGTTGCTGAAAGGAGCTTCCTCTGGAAGTCCATTGGTTGCCTTATTCTCAAGTGCTGTGATGGAGTCAGCCTAAGGTCACAGTGGTTTTAAATTCCTGGGTGGTTATGGGAGATTATGGTCTGCTGTTTGGTGATGGTTTAGTAAATGATGCTCTTTTCTCAGCTGTTCAGCTGTCTTGGCATTGCAGCTACCCTGACTGAGTCTCTTGAGCAAGGCAACCAAAACCACTCAGGGTTTATTTAATACAGACAATAATACCCTGTACTTGCCCAGCACAGCTCATCCAGTGATAAATGCGAGAAAACATCACTGATCACTAACAGATTATAGCTAAATATGGCCTAGATCATCCAAAAAGCCAGGAACCTGATCCTCAACTCTGATGCATCTCTGAGGAGCATCTTCAGAAAATTAGATCTCCTCCAAGTCTGCATGTCAAACAGACCTTAACAAACCACTGACTTTGAAGCCAATTGTATTTTCCATTGTTTAGCAATTCCTTCTGTGTGTCCTCTGTGCCAAATCCTTCACAATCTATGTTGTAGCAAAAGGGGAATGGGAAGAGAGCGGGGCTGGAGGTGGAACAGTGAAGGGGATGGAAGGAGGCAGCTAGAGGGAAGGGAATAGGCAACTGTAGGCATGAAGCAAAGAGGTGTTTTGCCACTTGCCAGCAGAGCTCATTGGGATTTATTTCCCAAATGCTGAGCTCATTAATGTGCCTTTGTTCTTAGCTATTCAGCTACTGATAATATTTCATCCTGTTACTGAGAATTTCCTCTCCCCTCCCCAACTCTATTGTGGTAATCCAGAGACGACAAGAAAGATGGCCTCAAATTCTATACTGACCCTTCATATTTCTTCAACTTGTGGAAGGAGAAGATGCTGCAGGCAACGGAGGACAAGAGAAAGGAGAAACGCAGGCAGAAGGTAAAGGCCTCAGAGAAAACTCCGAATCGGGCCTAAGAGGAGAATGGTCGGGACTCAGTTTGATAGGCAGATACTGTCAGGTTGTAGCAGGGGTGGCCACCCGTGGCTTCTCAAAAGTTAACATGTGGTTCCTTGCATAGGTGCCGACTCCTGGGTTGGAGCTACAGGTGCCCACTTTCCAATGTGCCAGGGGGTACTCACTGCTCACCCCTCAGGCTCTGCCCCAGGCCCTGCCCCCCTTCATCCCTTGCCCCAAAGCTCCCGCCCCTTCCCGTCTCCTCCCCCAAGCCTGCCACACTCTCACATCTCCCCCGAGACTCCTGAACACTGCAAAACAGCTGATTGCAATAGATGAGAGCATGGGTGGGGGAATTAGGGGTGTGGTAGCACCCACAGACCTGAAGTGGCTTCCATCATATACAGGGTTTACAGTTTGGGTCAATGGCTCTCAGCACCCCCACTATTGAAATTGTTCTAGCACTCCTGGAGGAGGCGCTGATCAGCGGGGCTGTCGGTGGGAAGGAAGTGCTGGGGCTGTGGGGGCGAGCTGATTGGGAGGCTGCTGATGCATTATTGTGGCTCTTTTAGCAATGTACCTTGGTAAATTCTGCCTCCTTCTGAGATTCAGGTTGGCCACCCCGGGTTATAGCATCCTTCTGAAATGGGTGCACTATGTCATTTATAAGGTGCACTTCACTGTACTATAGTCCTCAAACTCATGTCCAGTCAATGCTGTAAAGGAGGACGACTAAGTTCCCACCCTGGCACCAGAACAGACTGACAACCCAAGGAGCCTGGGTGTTCTTACCCCATGTGCTCAAGTTGCAAGGTTTTACAATGAGGAAACATACAGACCCTCGCACTACATCTGTACTGCAAGGCTTTTCCGCAAGAGGAAATGGAAATGAGGCACTCATTTGCATATGTCGTGCTCGCATCTGCATTTCCTCTTCGAATCCCTTTTGTGCAAGAGGTTTCTGTGCAAAAAAGAGCTGTGTGGCTGTTCGGCTCTTGCGCAAAAGGGAGGTTTTGTGCAAAAAGGTGCCATCTACACAGCTCCTTTTTGCACAAAAACCTCTTGGGCAAAAGGGATCCAAAGAGGAAATGAAAATGCGAGCGTGACATATGCAAATGAGCACTCAATTTGCATTTCCTCTTGTGGAAAAGCCTTTCAGTATAGACGTAGCCTTAATGTCCAGACTGGCAATAAAAAAAATTCTGTGACAGGGGCCAAAACTTGTTGCTTGCCCTTGTTTAGGAGTCGCATGACACTGAAACCTTTGGAAAACAAATCCCTCTGGGATATTTTTGACATTGTCCTACCTTGATAAATGTCCCATACATGCCCCTGAGCTATAAGGCACTCAAGAGATTGGCCTCCTGAAAACAGAAACATAAAGGAAATCTGGGGGGTTCTGTGGTAGTTAAAGGATCCCCCTCTGCTTTTCTTTTCAAAGGGTCCAGGGACAGAAAAGCAGATTTTAAAATAGAAACAAGCCCTGCATGTGATCAGAGAACATATTTAAGGACTGGGTTGAAGAGAAAGAGGCGTATCCCATAAGCACCCGTGGATGCTGCTGGACCTTTTCTTGTTGCTTTGGTTAATGCCTATGTCTGATGGAAGGTGTCAAAGGAAAGGGTGTAGCAGTGGCCCACAAGAATCTGAAGACTCACATGGGCTATGCAACAAAGGGCTCATGATATGAGCTTATACTTCACCCTGATGTTATTCTCTCCAACAAGTGTGACTGTAGACTTGAATTTCCATGTTCTTAGAGACTTTAAGGTCAGAAGGGACCATCATGATCATCTAGGCTGACCCGTAGGCCTCGGGACATCACCCACTCTTAACTTCTGGCTGTGTTACTGACGTCCTCTCTGTTCTCTGCTTTGTCAGTAGTTTGGCTCAAGTTTCCAAATCTACATGGAAATCATATGGAAAGTCTCTGGACTATATGGAGACCAATAATTCCATCCCAGTTTCCATAGCTAACTGTGCCAGTTTAGAAGGTGAAAACAAACTGGCTTTACCTGTTGGTATTCAAAGCCTTCCAGTCCATTGTACATACCCTAGGCTGCCTCAGAACCAGCCTTGGGATTGTTGTTGGTGTTTAGATCTGCACAGTCTTATTGCATAGTTGAATGAAAAGTACGCAGTCCTGCAGTCATGCTAACAGGACAGTGCTTATCTGCTTCCAGGAACAGCGGTTAGTGGAAGATTCCACCCGGGAGGTGAAGAAAGTGAGAAAAGCTCGCAACCGGCGTCTGGAGTGGAACATGATGGCATATGATAAAGAATTCCGGCCCGATAACAGGTTCTCACCATCCCCATATCACATGGCCTCATCGGAAGGATCACTGTCCCCAGATAATAGGCAGGTTTTCAGTATTACACACTTATTGTTTTTCTTTGATTTTCTTTGTTTTCCTTTTTTCTTTTTGATTTTCTGGATGATTTGGTTCCTCGTGACAGTAAAGGAGTCTTAGTGCTGGCTAGGAAGCAGGTACAGGGAAGGCAGGCACTGGGTAAACTCCTCCCCCAAGCCTGCTGCTTAGCACAGGCACCTGCATTCTGATGTGCAACACCCCTATTAAGTTGGTCCTGTACTTATCAAATCATGTCTAATTCTACATTGGTTTTGCATTCTCTGTGTGGAACTGAGGAGAGACCAAAATATTTTCATTTGGGGCCTGAGCTAGGATTTCCACCCAGCTGAGCTGAAAGGCTGTTTCTTTAGCCTACAAAGCTACTGCCGCCTCCTACCCTCTGCTTTCACCATCCCAATACTGTCTTGCATGTTTGCATCTTGGTGGCTACACATCATGTCTCCACATGTTGATGCCTTGATCCCAAATCCCAATAGGTGCTACCATACTCCTCCCAGAGCTGTCCTCACCCCTCATTCCATCCCTGCCGCTCATGCAGGAATACAACCTTTGGTATTTTTGTGTGCAATAGATCTTATGCGTCAGATGCAGCTGATCACTCGTACCCGGCCAGTCCTAACCACCCTGCACAGCAGATATTGGCTCCAGCCTCACACCTCTCAACAGACAACAAAGAGATCATCCTGGTTGCTAACCAGGCCCCGGAACACATCTACAGACCCTCCGCAGCAGGAAGCCGTCAAAACAGTCTCAACCGAGTCCAGCAGCCCCACGTGCCACAGCATCCAGAGGCTATACTGAATGGACCACGACCTCAGATTGTCAAGGAGTATGGGTATGAATTCCAATCTGCTTTTCATCCATAAACCTGTTTCCCCCTTGAAAGTGCACACAGTGCTTTAGAAAGGTGTCCTATTGACAGCCATGGAAAGTCAGATTCTCTGTCCACAGAGCAAGTATAAGACAGGCACCATAGATGCTCCCGACATAAGTATGCTGCACCATTTATGGCAGTCTCCATGGCCCATTCAGTCCCTTAGTCCGACAAGAACGTCAGTTGGTGCCATCTGTGAGGGCACTTGTCTATCAGGAATCGCCCTCAGAAAGCACTGTCTTCTTCCACATCATGCCACAGCACCAATGATGATTACGAGTCCAGAACAAAATTGGTCCAAATTGAATCCAGTAGCCTCAATATGTATAGACTCCTGTCCAAGTCCCCCAGTCCTGGTCCCAGCTTCCCGACTCCTCCAGCCTTCTCCTTGCTACTAGCCTTCATTGTTACCCAAAGATCAGCTGATGCCCAAAAGCCATATGCAAGCTCAGATTCTGCCCTCCATCATCCTGTGGAACCCTGTAGAGCTCTGTGCAGGGCTAGATTTGCAGGCAGTGGTCAGGACCATCCTCGCAATGTATGGGGCTCTACGGAAGTTACCTGAAGCTGCTCACTTCTCTGCCCCCTGTGGCTTCTCCTGGGGCTCTGAGCTTCCTTCGCACTGTGACGCCCTCCCCTCCCAATAGCTTCTGCCCAGGCTTGGGACTTCCTTTGCGCCCCACTTCCCATGCAGCTTCTGCCAGGGCTCGGCTTCCCTCTGCTCCTTATCCCCCCCTCAGCATGGCTTCTGCCGGGGCTTGGGGTTTCCTTGGAGCCAGCGCAAAGCCACAGAGGCTGAGGACTCCTCTCCAGCCTCAATGTGACAGGAGGGAAGCCTCAGTTCAGCAGCCAGCTGGCCAATAGGAACACATGGGCAGTGGGGAAGGAGCATCACCCTGTGGCTGATGGCTGAGAGAGCAGCTGTGGGAGGGGCTGGGCCAGAGAGAAACCAACAGATGGTGATCAGGGCCATATGTAGGCACACGAGCACGAGGCTGCATATGCCTAAGGACAGCTTTGGCAATGGATCCTGCCAATTAGAAGTGGGCAGGATGAGTGGAAATCTTTTGTCAGTACCTTGGATGGCTTCTTGTGAGCACTTGGCTTGGGGAGACCTTCCCTTTCTCAGTGCACTCCAAGTTCATAATCCTATGGGAGATCTTGCACCAGAGTCACAAACAAAACAAAAGTAAAAAATAATTCATCACATGCATTTGAGATAGTCCTTGAAAGGGCCATTTGGGTTCTGAACTCAATTCTCTCCCTGGGTTTGTCTGCACTGCAATCAAAATTTTATGGCCAGGGCCCAACTAGCCTTCATCAGCACATGTGAGTTTGCAGGGCTCGGGCTGCTGGGCTATAAAACTGCCACATAGATATTTGGGTTTGGTTTGGAGCCCAGGCTTCGAGACCCTGGGAGACTTGAGCCGGACATGAAAGTCCACAGTGCTATTTCTAGCCCCATCGCCCAAGTCCCACAAGTCAGCTGACCTGAGCTCTGAGACTCTGCGCTGAAGGTTTTTTTATTGCAGTGCAGATGTGCCCTCTGCATGGTCAGTTTCACCGGAGTCTAACAGGACCCAATAGATTGTCACATTGCTCCTCCTCATTCCGTGTCACTTTGAATATATAAAATGGCCAATGCCAGAGGCTTCAAAGGAAGGTGCAATCTCCTCTGGACCCTCACAGAAATTAAGTTAATTGCACAATTCTATACAACAGGAAGATTTTATCCTGACCCCCGTGGCCAGACCACCCTTGATACAGAACGATGGACAGACCCTTTAACTTTGTCCTGCCTGGTGTAACTGCAGATACTATTCCTGGTATGATGCAGGGAGTTATTGGCTTTTCTGAATGAGTCTGAAGAGCCTCACTGCAACTCTATTATCTACCCTTTTGGTATTGTGCAAGACAAAGGCACGTCCCAAACAATAACTAGCATTGTTTTTCTTTTGGATGGATACACTGAGGTGTCAGAGACTGTGGACCCCTGTGACAGTGATTCTCATGCGGAGATACAATATACTGACCTAAGGATTCAGCCAGATCTCTGTATTCCTCTTACTTTTTTGTCTGTTTAAATGACCAGTCACTCAGTAGCACTTCAACAATGTGAAATACAGAGCGCTGACCTTCTGGGACATGAATATCAGAGGGGTAGCCTTGTCATTTAGTCTGTATCTGTAAAAACAAGGAGGAGAACTTTGGCACGCTAAAGATTTATTTGGGCATAAGCTTTCATGGGTAAAAACCCATGATGCAGCTGACGAAGTGGGTTTTTGCCCATTGAAGCTTATGCCCAAATAAATCTATTTGCTGTTCTTCCAGGCCATGTCAGGTCACTTTCACCAGCATCTCAGCTCTTACTCAAGCTTTACAAGTTTCCCCTGCTTCAGTTGCTGTCCCGCCCCTGCCTCTCAGCACATAAATTTCACTGGTTTTTACATACTCACTCGGTGGCAGACTGGCACAAGATAACTGTATTTCACAGCTTATGCCTGTTGTCCAATCAACTTCCACGGCCCAGGGACTTCCTTGGCCATTACACCTGCTGGGACCAGGCCCAGAGTTTGAATGCTATATCTGCTTACAAGGACCAAGTTCCCTGTATGTTTTTGTGTTTGTGGCTTTCAGGTGACACCTTTGGGTATGTCTAGACTGCATCTCTCTAATTTGCATAAAAATGGCCACCGCGTTTTGCTGACTCAGCAAGGAGGTTTACAGGATCTGTCGAAAAAGTCTTTCTTTCTCGACAGATTCCCCTCTAGACTGCCACTTTTTGCCGACAAAGTGCTGAGTCGGCAAAACGTGGCACCCATTTTTATGCAAATTAGGCACGGGATATTTAAATCCCTGCCTCATTTGCAATGGCGACCTGCCTAATCTGCATCCCTCTGCCGACAGAGGGATGCAGTCTAGACATATCCTTAGAAAACAAAACCCTGCCTGACTTTTGCTACCAAAGAGGGTTTCTCTGAATATATAAGAATCATTTCAAATGCAGCCACAGCTGGGGTGGAACATGGGAGCTGTTTGCCAGCACACAGCGGAGCTACGCAATAGTTTAGGACAGGCAGTAGAGCTAAATACCATGTCTCCTGCAGCAGGAAGTGAGCATGAGCATGTCCCAATGCTGGAATTTCTCTGGGATCTTTTGGTCGCCATGAGGTGACCCCATGTTGTGGGTCCTTGACGTCGCGGTTCATGTGTGGTATCGTTTCTGCTATTGGCATTGATTTGCTTTTTGTCCTTTAATTGTTGCAGTCCCCAGCAGATGCCCTTGGCAGAATACTTTGTGCCTCCTGCTCCCCCGCCCCCGCCTCCTGTGATACCCTCTGCTCAGACTGCCTTCGACAGCCCCATCACAGCACCTCCCGCGATGGCACCCAGCGCTGCAGCCTCTGGGCCTCACTCCTCTTACGCTCCCTCCCCACCTCCAGCTCCACCCTGCCCATATTCCACTTCCCCCCCTCAGACTGGTCCGCTGGGGCCCCCTGTTGCCCCACCCCCACCCCCACCTGGTCCTCCAACAGTTGCCGCCTCGCCGGCTCACTCGGCGTCACCCCCTGCTGTGGCAGTTGAACCTCGGAAACCTCAGATTCCTCTGATACCAATGAGCGATGCCAGGAGCGACCTGCTTGCTGCAATTCGGAGGGGTGAGTTACACACAGCCCGGGACCCTGGCACTAAAGAGCTGGGTGGGGATCTCAGTTCAGCGGAGGTGGAGAGAGAAGGTCATGTATACTCTTGGCCACACATGCTAGAGGCCTTATCCAAAGCCCATTGAAGTCAGTGCACAGTCTCCCACTGATTTCCATGGTGTGGGATCAGGTCTTACATGCTCAGCAGACCTGTGGAGAAGATATTTCTGGAAGTGTTACATGTAAACAAACATTACTGAGAGGGGAATTATTGACGGGCGGTAAGACTAGGAGCGATGGGATGAAACTGAGCAAAGGACCAGTGGTGGTAGAAGATGTGGGGATGGGGTAGAAGCCCCATCATTTGGGGGTTTTAAAACCAGATTGCACAGTGCATGAGCAGTAGGGAACAAGCTTGCCTGGGGAACTGTAGAGATGGTGGCGGACAATATGATCTAACACGTCTTTTCTGTCCCCACTCTTTGCTAATAATGCTGGGTTGAACAGTGGAGAGGGAGGCAGGATGTGGCTGAGCAAATCCACAGAGCCCATTGGTGGGCAGGTGGGTGTTTTATAGTCCTCCTCTCTCTGCCAGATCCATAGAGGATTTAGGCCAGCTACAGCACCAGTGAGGGAGCTGCAGCTCACGCTACAACAGCCAATGCTTTTCACTCTGAAGTTCTCTGGTTCACGCTTTGGGATGACCTGGGAGATTTTCCATCTTCTCTCCTGCAGGAATTCAACTCCGGAAAGTCCAGGAGCAGTGGGAGCAGGAGGCAAAGAAAGAACCGGTTGGCAATGATGTCGCCACTATCCTGTCCCGCAGGATTGCAGTGGAGTACAGCGAATCCGACGATGACTCAGAACTGGACGACAATGAGTGGTCAGATTAAGCGAGCTCAGAATGCTGTGTTGGAGTGAACTCTCCCCTCCCTGCTTGTCCACAAGAAGGTGTGTATGGCTGGGCTTCCCTGAAAGCGAACGCTGACCGCTGTCAGCAGTTAGTGTGACGTGTTCAGGAGCTTTGCTTTTACACAACGTTTCATTGTTGAAAATAGGATGCTAGTGTTGTCAGTGGAGAGTGTGCATTGGTGGGACGGATTTTAAAAGCAGCAATAAGAGTCCAGAGTCTCTCCAGGTGTGGCTATGACACTTTAATAATGCTAAGAATACAGTGGGACCAGGATCAATGAAGTCACTCTGGGTTTACACCAGGGTGACTGCAATCACAAGCTGGCCCCATCTATGTGTTTTTAGAGAAACAAAACTGCAGACAGTGCTGCTTCCTTGGCCAGATGTTAATTTCATAATGAAAAGCTCCTGAAAAAGCATCCTGTTCCCACAGCAAATACAACCTCATGGGCAGAAGTGTCTAGAGACCACAATTCACTTGCTTGTATTTTCTGCAGCTACCTAAAATTGTGGGGATTTGGACAATATGAACCAGGGAAAAGCTCCCTTCACTGCCCTGAAAGTTACATGCGGAAGATGTCTGTTTTCCCGTTAAAGTAATATTTTTAGTTTTACATTGTGACAGTCGTAAAGGAGAGTTAACTGCTGCCTCCCAGTTCTGCTTTTAAAAGCACTTCATAAAGATGCACACATGTTTGTGGCAAGGTTATATTTACATCTCTGCACTCAGATTCTCTGGAGAAGAGCATGAAAGGAAAGTTTAGTATAAACCCGCTCTTCTTTTGCCAGCAACAAAGAAACAAAGCACTTGTTACTGCTTAGAAAGGTGTAAAGTCAGTTTAAAGAGAAAAGAACCTAGCAATAGATTTAAGTTGCCTAAGAAAGATTCTGAAGGCCTAGAAATAATTGGCTGACAGTGCTGTTCTATTGTTGTATCACCTTATTTTAAATAAAATTAACCAGGCTAAATAGGACTCTTAGCTGCCCCCAAAGAACCCCATTCAATTTAGCAGGGAGCAATATTTGTATCATTGGGTTGAATTTTGCTTTTTCAGTTTTTTATACCTGAGATTTTCATGTACAATTGAGGAGAATTTAGTTCCATTGCCAGAATAGTTATTGATGGAACAATTCTTCCACTGTTACTCAGTCTGGGCAGTAAATACACCAGGAGCAGTCGTACTGTGTAGGGGTGGAGTACAGCAAACTTGACAATGGCTGAACTGGTGATTATGAGTAAGACGGGTAGGATCAGGCCCTGCGGTAAGATGCTGAAAACGCCAGTGATTGCTATTTGGTTTATTAATACAAATGGAAAGTGATTCATACAATCATTTTCATGTAGACACTCAGGCTGTGTCGAAAGAGGGATGTAAATTAGGCACTTCAAAATTGCAGATGAAGCTGGGATTTGAATTTCCCGCACTTCATTTGCATCATCATGTAATGGCACTCTTTCGAAAACATGCTATTTCGAAAGTAAACCCGCGGTCTAGACGCAGTTCTTTTGAAAAGGGATTCGAAAGATCCTGTAAACCTCATGGTCTAGACTGTGGTTTTTACTTTAGAAATAGCGTGTTTTCGAAAGAGCGCCATTATGTGATTATGCAAATGAAGCACGGGAAATTCAAATCCCAGCTTCATTTGCAATTTCAAAGTGCCTAATTTACATCCCTCTGTCGAAAGAGGGATGTAATCTAGACTCAGCTCTAGACACAGCCTCAGGGAGAAGTCCTGGGAATCCAAAGGGATCCGATGGAAATATTGAAAACCCACGGTCAGTCCTGAAAACGACAAGAGATCAGGAAATGGATTTTGACCAACAGAAAAATGTCTAGTGGCAGCCTTGAATCTACATGATATGGTCAAATCGGACTCTGGTGTTCCAGGGACACAAATATGCACCCCAGCAATTGCACCATTTCCACTTCCCCTGTCCCCAGTCCTGTCTGACTCATGTGTGGTGACAAAGTTGGATTCTCTTACTTTCCTCCCTCTAATAGGAACCTTGAACGTTGGCTCCACCCTCTGGCTTCTTTGTCCATGCAGCTGACTGAAAAACAGCTGACAGAGGGAGAGACAGTTATTGGTCAGCCACATTAAGAGTCCCATGGGTCTGTAGGTGGGGTGCTGTTGGCTGGAGCCCGCGAGTTTTACCTTATACAGGGCCCCATATGGCTGTGCCACAATTCACTCTTATTTACTAGAGAATGCTGCTACTGAGCTGTGCTCCAGGGGTCAGTTGTTCTCCTGCCAGAGACAAATTCTTCTTGTTGAGAGAAGCCCTGCAGGGGCAGCCTGCCTCTAGCAACCAGAAAATATGCAGCTGTGGGAGTGGGGAAAGGATTCGGGGTGGGTTGGTTTTCACGCTGTTGAAACACACAGGCTGGTCTGTGCATGAGTCTCTGCTTCTAACCATGCAGCTTAGGCCCAATCCCAATGGCCATACTGGGTTTTGATTCTTCCCATTATTAGGCAAAACTCCCATTGACTTCAATGAGAATATTTGCCTGAGTGAGGGCTTGCCCATAAAGTCCTTGGATTTTACTTCTGACCTCCATGTTATGACAGTATTGATCTCATTAATATAGCTAGACCTCAAACAGCTATCCCTGCTCTGCTCAGTAAGGGCCTGACCAAAAGTCCACCAAAGTCAGTGACACTGTTTCCATTGACATCAGTGGGCAATGGCTGTAACTAAGAAACTATATTCTGGTTGAAATGTGGTTAACACTTAAGTGCCTAACGGATGAATATCCACAGCAGGGCTTAACTCGAAATAAGGTACGCAAACTGAGGTACATCAATTGCATAGCTTATTTTGAAATAGTTTATTTCGAAATTGGGAGCGTCTACACAGCTCTTATTTTGAAATAGAGCATCTTCCTCCGACTTCCCTTACTCCTCGTACAACGAAAGTTACAGGAGTCCAAGTAAGAAGAATTTCAGCTTGACAGTATTTCGACATTATTTGGAAATAGCTGCCTGCTGTGTGGACACGGAATAAGTTATTTCGAAATAATGCTAGTGATTCCAAAATAATGTTACTGTGTAGATGTACCCAAAGAGAGGGACATAAGACTTTGGTCCATCACACCATGATCCTGCCTTCAGCAGTAGTCCATATGGAAGGTGACAGAAAATCTCCATTTTGCAGGGAGAAGGGACGAGGGGGTTCCCTACTCAAACCAAGCAGAAAATAGTTCCCAAAAACCTGAGGCCTGTTGGCAAGTCAGACCAGCTTACAGGAAAGAAAAAGGAAAACAAGACAGCAATCAGCATAATTTCTCTGTGGCATTGACATAGGACCCAACAGCTCAGCTGTAGCTCCTGGGGCAATGGGAGTGTTAAGCAGATACAGAAGTAGCTGGTGCAGTGGCATGGAGCTGGGAATTCTTGGTGTGTGATAGTAACACAAACAGCTCTTGCTTCTACTGTTATCGTGTCTGCTTAGAACTAGCAGGCAACCCCCGTCCTGAGAAATGGAAAATACGGTGGTCGGAAGCTGCAAGCCAAACCCCAATCTCTTTACTCAGGCAAATACCGACAGTGAAATCAATGATGCTGCTTTCCTGAGTGAGGCAAGCAAGATTTGACCCTCCTGCAAGATCAGGAAAAGCCTTGCATGTTAGAAATAGCATATAAAACAATCTCATAAGTATTTATTGTATAGTGGTGTTAATATATGCATGATTTTGTTGTGATCCACAAATGAAGAGAAATCGCAGACTGATGGGTTTGATGTGTAAGTTTAAAAATATAATATATTTGGACATAAATGCTAAAGAGATGTAGCTATGATTGAATGCCAAAGAGATGTATTAGTTGCCTTTATCTTTGGCATGATCATAAGTTCATATCAGCTGGCCTACTGTGCTAGAGCAGTGATGGGATTGGAGCCAGCCCCTGAATATTTGCCCTGTCATGTATGAGTGCAGAGGCAGGGGGATTTTGACTTTAGGGCTACATGGCATCTTGCTCTGCAGCAATGCATGCCACAAAGGAAAGTTGCAAGGAGACTTCCGCTTATGACCTTGTGTGGGGCCTGGGCACAGTCCTTGTCCACTGAATGCGCAAGGCCTAGGGACTCTAATGTAGAGAAGGATATTGGTGTGAAGTGAGGTGTTGTAGGTACAATGCCTGAAGGAATGACCGCCAGAGCACAGCCTTCTCAGCTTTGCACTTCACTACCCTGCTCAGCTCCACACCATCCACTACCCTTCTCAGCTTTGCAAATGTGTGCTGTGTCTTAAAGCCACAGAGCTGGAGGCTTTGTGCCTACACTGCCATGTTTTGTTGCCAAAACCTGCCTTTTGGTGCAAAACAGCAAGAGCGTTTACACTACAAATCCAACTTTTGTCAGGAAAACGCCCAGTTTTGGTGACTGAAAATGTCCACTGCCATGAGAGACTTTTGTCTTTTCCCTTCCCTTTATTGTCGACAAAGAGCCAGTGTGGACTCTGCTGTTTTTTTGTTGAGAGGTTTGGCTTCTTCCAGTATCCCACAATGCCTCCCCTGATGGCTATGGTCAGTGTTTTGTGATCTCTGCGGCCTTGCAGACGTGCCCCTCTGCTTTCAGAGCTCTAGGAAATATCTGACAGCTGAGTGAGCTGCTCTGTTTGTGGAACAAACAAAGAACTAATCATTGTACTACTCCTTCCATTTCTGCCCTGCACTAGGAGCACAGTGGCAGACAGACTGCTGCTGCAAGGGGAGGGGCTGGAGAGACTGCTGTGCTGCTGTGACATTCCTCAGCATAGAGAGCTCACAGAGTTATGAGGGAACCCCAAGAAGAGCAGGGATCAGCTCTGCCTTCCCACAACAGCTGCACTATGCTTACCCACAATGCTTTGCTCTTATCTGTCGACAGGGTGCTAGCAATGTGGCCATGAAATGTCGACAATGGGAGGCAGAAAAACTGGTTTTCACTTTTGGCAACTTTTGCATGTCAACAGCACTTTTGTCGCCAAATCTTCCCAGTGTAGACAAAGCCTGACTCTGCTCTACTAACACTGGCTCCACTAACTTCTGTGGGTTACTCCTGATTTACTCTGGCTTCTGTGACATTAGAACCAGGCACACTGTCTTGGTTCTGTAATGGGTTTGTTGTCGTTCAACAACCCAATATGTTCATTGATCATTTTCTCCAGCACTGTTAACATGGCCTTTCATAAGACATTATGACAATCAAAGTTAGGCTCTCTACCCATACTGGCACAAAGGGACATAGGGGGTTGGATTAAAATTGAAAATGACCAGGGCCAACTGGAGAAATGGTCTGAAGTTATCAAGATGAAATTCAATAAGAACAAATGCCAACTTCTCCTCTTAGGAAGGAACAATCAGTTTCACACATATAGAATGAGAAATCATAGAATCATATAAAACTCGAACTGGAAGGGACCTCGAGAGGTCAAGTCCAATCCTCTGCCCTCACGGCAGGGCCAAGCACCTAGATCATCCCTGATATATGTAGATCCAACCTGCTCAAAGGACTGTCTAGGAAGGAGTACTGCAGAAAGGGATCTTTGAGTCATAGTGCACCATAAACTAAATATGAGTCATAAGCAGGGCTTGACAATCTATTGAATCTACTCGCCCATTGGGAGTAGATGTCAGCACGGCGCCCCGTTTACCGGCTGCGCGCACATACGCAATGCAGCTCTTGTGCATGCACAGTGCGGGGCTGGCGAGCGGCTTTCGCCGCGGTTCGTCAAGCCCTGGTCATAAGTGTCATATTTGCACAAAAAGCGAACATCATTCTGGGATGTATTAGCAATGTTGTAAGCAAGACACGAGAAATAATTCTTCCGCTTTATTCTGTGCTGATAAGACCTCAGCTGGAGGACTGTGTCCAGTTCTGTGCATCACATTTCAGGAAATTGCAGGAAGTCCAGAGAAAAGCAACAAAAATGATTAAAGGTCTAGAAAACATGACCTATGAAGAAAGATTGAAAAAACTGTGTGTTTAGTCTGAAAAGAGAAGATTAAGAGGGACATGATACCAGTTTTCAAATACATAAAAGATTATTACAAGGAGGGAGAAAAAGAGATTCTCTTTAACCTCTGAGTATAGGACAAGAAGCAATGGGCTTAAATTAAAGTAAGGGTGGTTTAGGCTGGGCATTAGGAAAAGCTTCCTAACTGTCAGGGTGGTTAAACACTGGAATAAATTGCCTAGGAGGTGGTGGAATCTCTGTCATTGGAGGCTTTAAAACAGGTTAAACAAACACCAGTCAGGAATGGTTTAATGATTACATAGTCCTGCCTTGAGTGTAGGGGATTGGCCTAGATGAGCCCGAGGTCCCTTCCAGTCCTACAAATTCTATGCTGCTGTGATTCTATGATCCTGCTGCCTTTGAGGTCTGTGGCAAAAT